TGTTGATTTAGAGAGAGAGGAGAGAGGAGGAGAGAGAAGAGAGAAGAATGAGGGAAAGAGAAGATAGCGTGAGAGAGAGAGAGAGAGAGAGAGAAGGGAGAGGAAAGAGGGAAAGAGAAAGATAGCGTGAGAGAGACCGTGAAAGAGAGATAAAGAGACACATAGCGAGAGTGAGAGAAAGAATAAAGTGTAAGACGATGAAGAGAAAGAAAGAACAAGAGATAGAGAGAGAGGAGTATGGAGAGAGAGGAGAGAAAGAGAGGAGAGAGAGACTGCGTTGGAGCGAGGAGACGAGGAGAGAGAGAGAGAGAGCGAGAGAGAAGACTAACCGTTTTATAGTGATCTGTAAAATCTGCGCGTGAAAACGCGGGTTTTTGATTTATGGGGTTATAAAAGTGTGACGTGTCGCCGGTTTCCGTTTTTCGCTAATCCTCGCTGAGAGAAGTCTATCCCAGGCATATACACGCACACGCGCCAATACACGCATTCACGCACGCCGGTATATGCACGCACACGCGCCAATACACGCATTCACGCACGCCCGGTATATGGCACCAAGTCCATACACGCATTCACGCACGCCGGTATATGCACGCACACGCGCCAATACACGCATTCACGACTGCCTCGGTTATATGTCACGCACAGCGCGATACACGATTTCACTGCACGCCTGGTATATGACGCACACGCGCAATTAACCGCATTCACGCACGCCGGTATAGGCAGCACACGCTGCAATACTACGCATTGAACGCAGCCGGTTATGCACGCACTACGCGCTAATACACCATTCACGCGCCTGGTATATGGCCGCCACGCGCAATCACGCATTCACGCACGCCTGGTATATGCATTGCACACGCGCCATACACGCATTCACGCACTGTCCGGGATATGCACGCACCCGCTGCCATACAAGCATTCAGCACTGCGGTATATGCAGCACACGCGCCATACCGCATTTCACGCACGCCGGTTATGCACGCCACACCGCGCCTGAATACAGGATTCACGCCGCCGGTATATGCAGCACCCGCGCAATCACGCAATTCACGCACGCCGTATATGCGACGACACGCGCCAATACACGCATTCACGCACGCCGGTATATGCACGCACACGCGCCAATACACGCATTCACGCACGCCGGTATATGCACGCACACGCGCCAATACACGCTTCTAGCCTGCCGGTATATGCACGCACCGCGCCATACTAGCTTCACGCACGCCTGGTTATGCACGCACACGCGCCATACACGGCATCACGCACGCGGTTATGCCGCAACGCGCCAATACGCATTCGCACGCCGGTATATGCCGACACACGCGCCTAATACAGCTCATTCACGCACGCCTGGGTATATGGCAGCACACGCCTCTCTCTCTCTCTCTCTCTCTCTCTCTCTCTCTCTCTCTCACTTCCTCTCTCGCTCTTTCTCACTCTCTCGCGCCGCCGCTGTCGCCAACTGCTTCATTACGTCACTGTTTCCCCATGGCGCGTGCTTTCGCCCGTCAACGGTCCGTCCGTCTGTCGAGCGGGCTGCTTATTTTCATTTGAGAGCGAAATAAAAACGGCTTCGTTTTTCGCCGCGCGACAAAAAACGTCGACGACAGGCGGCGCTGCGTTTTTTTCTCCCGTCGCCGCCGACGGACGCGGTGCGCGAAAGAAGACGGCGCTAACGACCGAGGACCGCGCGGCACGGCTAAACGGGGAGCGACACGAGAGCGGCAGCGAAACAGACACGACGCGAGAGCTGTCGATCAGTAAGTACTACTACTACTAGTACTACTACACGAAACGTCGGTGGTGCGGTGAAAGCTATGCCCCTCCTTCGCCGTCATTTCTACCCCTCCCCTCTCTCAACACGATGAACATCGGAGACGGGAAGAAGACGGGGGAGAGTCGGAGGGAGAAGACGGGGGGAGGGGAGCGGAGGACGAGAGAGAAGGGTCAACCGCGTGAACACACGGCGCGGTGGTGGGGTTCTCGGAATGCACGGACCCCGCGCGGGGATCGCTATCACGGCTAGCAGCGGATGAAACGCGGCCATTAAAACTCGATCGGACGCTTAACCAATCAACAGCGGCGCACGAACGTCGTCGCCGGGGAAAACCCAACAACAGCCGAACGAGCGCGGCCCGAAACGAAATAAAAATGGCCGCCCGCCACACGTCGCTCGCCGACGCCAGGAAACATCGCAGCGGGAAAACAAACTCGAGCGTACGGATGCGTCGACCGCACGCAAATAAAATGTTTACGGGTGTCCGTCGCTCCCGACGCTGCTTAGCGCGCGAACGAGCACAGCCGGAGACAGAGACAGATAGAGAGCGAGAGAGCGAGAGAGAGAGAGAGAGAGAGAGAGAGAGAGAGAGAGAGAGAGAGAGAGAGAGAGAGGGGGGTGGGTAGACGATACTGGTAGGAGGGGGAGGAGGGGGTGGGTAGACGATACTGGTAGGAGGGGGCACGGCCGACGGGAGCATTCCTCGGGGCGAGCAGGCGCGCACATAAATCTCTGCGCGCTGTCAGTTCTGACGAGCGGAGCTGGCAGGCAGGCCCCCGCACTGCTCGTCACCACCCGTCATCTGCGCTCGCCGCTCGACAGCTTGTTTAGACATCCCTCTCGCATGTATCTTCCCGAAATTCGCTCCCGAAATGGATCCCTCCTCCGCCAATTCGCACACGGCGGCGGCAGCGCGATGGCCCCGCCGTGTGCTCCCCCCTCCACTCTTCCATACTCCCCTCTACAACACAGGTTCCCGCGAGATAGAGAGTGAGAGAAGAAGGGCGTGAGAGAGTGAACGAGCGAGAGGGGGAGAGAGGAAGAGAGAGAGAGAAGGAGAGAGGGGGGGGAGAGGAAGAACAAGAAAGAAAAAGGGGAGGGCGAGCGAGGAAAAACGAGGGCGAGCAAAAAAATAGAGAAAGAGAGACACATACATAGATGGACGGACAGATGGATGGATGGGTGGATGGATGGATGGATAGATAGATAAATACATGGATAGATAGATAAATACATAGATAGATAGATAAATAGATAGATAGATAGATAGATCAAAAATAGACAGAGATAGAGATAGAAATAAAGAGAGAGGGGTGGAGGGGGAGGAAACCGCAGACGACAGCGGTAGATAAAAAGCCTTGCTCCTTTTTGCGCGCTCCTGCCTCTTCGTAACGAAGCGTAACAGTGTATTAATTACGGAGGAAGGCGCGGGCGGGAAGAAGAAGAGGGGGAGGAGTAGGAGCGGGGGATAGGAGGAGATATATACCGCGTTCGGGCTGCGG